TGTGGGCCTAAGCTTTCAATCCAGAATTAGGTCTTGCAGTAATGATTTTCTACAGAAACGTGGAGCTTTTTACCTACAGGCAGACATGTGTGGACATCAATTTTTTTTAAAAAAATCACTTAAAAATGAAGTTGCATGAGTGACAATGTCACTGGGTAGTATAACTGAAGAACCGTGAGCCATTCATAGTCATATAATGCAATAATTTCTGATGTGAGTATATTTAAAACTAGGAGTGGTCTCGGCTGCCTGGGAGATTTTGTTGACTTTAGCATCTTTGGAAGAGGGAGCAAAAGAGAAGCATTGGAGCCTCTTGATGTAGTTGGGTAAAGTAACCAAGGACATTTTGCAAAGGAGAGCATTGTCTTTGCAATTAGGGGAGAGAGAGTGGGGGAATGTAAATGGTTCCTGTGCTGAACACTTTGGAAAAAGCTAAGCCTTCATCATCGGGAGTAGGATGACAAAAGCTTTTTTTGGGGGGGGTTATGAATTGTGTGCTAATAGTACTGAAATAACACTGCAGGGAATTAAATGGGCAGCTGGCTGGGAGCAAAGCTTTTGTCTGGCAGCTTTCAAACACATAACAGAAAGAGGGAAAGTAGGCGTGTGTCCTTTAACTGATGATCATAATCTCTTTTCTGTAGTACACTAGAGTCTAGCAAGTGCATGGCATTCAATTCAAATGGTGCCAAGAACATATTTTTGGGCAGCTTTTCACAGCAGTGTCCTTCCAGGGCAATTCAAGATAAAATGGTAAAGTATCAATTCCAGTAATATAAAACCACAAATAACATTTTTCAAAAGAGAAAAAAACAGTCTAAGCAATAGTTGCTTAGTTTCCAGCAAGGGTCAAGTTAAGGCCAGACAGTAGCTACCGAAAAGCCAGTAATTGCCAAAATAAGTGAGTATCTTGGCTAAAAGGCATTTGAGTACACATATAGATCTTCAGCCCTTTGAGAGAGCTGGAACTGTGGGTTGCTTGCAATTCACCCTAGTTTAAGAGCCACCCAGAGAAGGCAACATCTCCAGTGCCTAACTTTTTAAAATGTTTAAGCTTTTTAGGGCAGAGTAGCCAGCAACTGCATTGCTGCCAATCTGTGGAATTTGGAAAGGGTGTAAAGATGCAGAGATTATTTCAACAATTCAGAAAAACAACTGGTTAACAGACATATTTAGAAGGATTCAGAAGGACACATTGCTCAGGGTGGCTTTATATAATGTCATCATGATTAGGAGCTTTGATAGCTCCTTTGTTACAGGGAATAGCGCCAGACTAACTTTAGCCAAGACCACAAAGTTAAGCAAGGTCAGGAGAAGTTTTTACAAGAAGAGGAGGCCACTGGGAAATCTCATAACTGAAAGCTAGTTTGGGAAGTCACCGAAGGAAAAAAACAGATAACAATTTCAGTGTTATTTCTATACACCCCCAATGATGGGTTACTCCATGAAATGTCTAAGATGAGGATTTTCAAAAAAAAAAAAAATCAGGCTGCAGAACCTGTTTACAAAAAAAGAAAAAAAGGCAAAAACGAATGATGGACTTTTCTTTTTTTTAAGTCTCTCATAGCAACCATCAACTTCTGGCAGATCCAGGTTTTAAACAATCCTGTTCTAGAAGTTGAACGCAACTTGTAGGAGGCTTTATTATCGCATCTTTGTCATAAGAAATATCCCTGTCATACACCTGAATTTATTCTTTTACACATCTTTGCTGAAAAAGAGTTTACATTTCTTTGAGGAGTCGATCTGCATAAATCAAGATTGTCGGGGTTTCCTTGGGTTTCTGAAAATGGGCATTCTGATTAAAGGAAAAATGAATAACACAGCAGTGTTTGAATTAAAAAGAAAACAGTGATTTGAAGGAGTCGAGTTATTATTTAGAAGCAATCTTGGCTGTCTGTACTTTCTCTATAATTGTAGTTCCTGCAGCCAAGTTTTGCATTTGCGATTAGGTATTGACAGTGTTTCCATTCTCTATTCGTTTACTTCATTTTCATGGTATCATAACTTACTTGCTCATCTGTACAAAACGTATTACTGTAACAGACACGCTTTCATGAACTGCAACATCATCATATGCATCTATGTATCTGATAAAGAGAGTTCCAGCTTATAAGAGCTTATGGCTTTTAATAAAAAGTACTTATGTTAGTTGGAAAAGGTGCTAGTAGCTTCGGCTAATTTCCCCCCCCCTCCTCAGGAACATGGTTCGCCTCCTATTTTGCCCATTTATACAGAAAGTATCAGGTCAGTGCTGAAATATTCCAGAAGGTCCCTAGATGGCAGCAAAGAGATACAGAAATATGTCAGCTCTTTGTTGCCATACATGGCTATATGAAATTTTGCAAGCCAGATACTGTAGTCCTGATCCACATAGAGTTTCTTGCCATCTATAGCTATCCAATTAATGTTGAAGGCTCCTTTAATTAAGTCATTACCATCCTTTTGTTGTTGTTGGTACTTTCAGGTTAGTCTTGACTCCTGACAACTGCTTGTCTAATGTCCCTGTCATTTTCTTGACAAGATTTCGAAAGTCATTTGCCCTTGCATCCTTTCTAGGTCTAAGACAAGTGACTGGCCCAAGGTCACCCGCCTGGCTTCGCGCCTAAGGTGGCACTAGAACTCGCAATCTCCCAGTTACTACCCTGGTGCCTTAACTACTACACCAAACTGGCTGACTTCCCATGCAAGTTAGCCAACAGGTAGTCCAGAAGTGAGTTGAATGAATGCAATGGCTTATTATAGTTCTCCCCATCTATAAGTAAGACAAGTCTACATAATGTTGTTTGTGATATGTGGATGTCATCTTCTATTATTCTCTTTCCAAAGGACATATGCTGACCTGTTCGGCCCACCTGGTTTCTCCCCCAGGTAGCAAAGTATCCATTGGTACTTTTTAAAATAATGTATAATCTGCTAGTTATCTTTTCTTGTTAATTGTAAGGCCCCAAAAACCAAGAAAGATACATAGAGTTGCTTCTGAGCAGTTTCTTTTATCCTTTTGTGTTTGTTTATTTATTTTGCACTTTTGTGGAGACAAAAGTGCATTAATATTGCATATACACAGACTGTGTTTATGTATCTAAATCCTTTGGGAGGAGGTCTCATTTAGGGTGGTCTACAGCAGGGGTGTCCAACCTTGGCAACTTTAAGACTTGTGGACTTCAACAAAGTTGAAGCTGGCTGAGGAATTCTGGGAGTTGAAGTCCACAAGTCTTAAAGTTGCCAAGGTTGGACACCCCTGCTCTACAGCCTTCCATGAAGGAGGAAATGAATCTTGTGCTTCTTCTTCTGCTTTGTGTCCTGAACCCTTGGCCTGCCAAGCGTTTTCCTTACCTGCAATCTATCTAGACCAGCTTTTCTCAAACTTGGCAGTTTTCAGATGTGTGGACTCCAGTTCTCAGAATTCCCCAGCCAGCCAGGCTGAAGCTGAAGTTGAAGTCTACACAACTGAAAGCTGCCAAAGTTGATAAACACTGATCTAGATATATGGAGGGGTGGGAGTAGCTGAGAGCAAGAATGCTGACCCCTTCTTCTTTGCTGAGCCCCACCTCTCTGTCTGTTGAGGGGAAAATCATAATATCAAGAAAACCTGTTGCAGAATCTTTCTGACAACGATTCCTTGTGCTTCTCCCATCAAGGCCAAAGTATTGAGCTCATCCAGAATCTTACAATGCAGATCCAAACAATCTGCCAATTATTATCTCATCCCCCTCACTTCCTTGCTAGCCTTCCTTGTATTTATTGGAACTAGATTTTTTTTTCTCTCTCTCTCTCTCTAATAGCCTTCTTTCCCCTACCACAAATAGCTTCTTTTATTCTGTTTCCTCTCAGCACCCACACATTCTGGAGTAGTTTTGTTTCCTTGCTTTCAATATCACTTTGCACCCCCCAGAAAATATGGCAGTCTGGATTCCATTTTTTTCTGTTGTCTGTATCTAGGTTCCCATTTTTTGGTTTCTGCTTTAATTCTTGATTCTTGGAGTTTGAACTGGAATCTAGAGGTCCTGTATGTTAAGGCTGCTTCCCCCAGCAATGCCAGTCCAACTTAGCCTCTTCCCAAGTTCTCATGACATTTAGCCTTGTTTGAGCATTATGCATGCTAAGAAGCCTAGACTTCTCCCAGCTTGCGTGTTCTCTGCATCTTCCCATAAGCAGCTGAAACTTCTTGTTGTTAGATTGCGGTGACATTTGGAGCCACAAATGTTGTTGCTGCTGCGAGCTGGATTCTGAAGTTGTTTTGCTTAAACAAACCCTAGTTCATCTCAAGTGTTTCTCGTCCTTTGCCTCTTTAAGACTTGTAGACTTCAGTTCCCAGAATTCCACCAGCCAGCATGCTGGCTGGGAGAATTCTGGGAGTTGAAGTCCACCCATCTTAAAAGAGGCCAAGGTTGAGAAGATTTATAGATTTCCTGTGCTCAGAGATTTATAGGACTTCTAGGCTGTTTGCTTGTAGAAAGAACATTCCAGTTCCTCTCAGCACGTTTTTGAGGCCCCCTGGATAGTTTTATTGCTGTATTTGTTATTACTAGTGTGGATGTTTTACTTCTTAAGAAGGGGAAACAGGATATAAGTTACAATGGGTTACAATAAATTACAATTGGCAATGGAATTCTGGGAGTTGAAGTCCACAGGTCTTAAAGTTGCCAAGATTGAGAAACTCACAATACTATCAAACAGAGACCTTGGCTTTTCGTGGCACAGGAAGACGCAGTTAACTCAAGTGGCAATCTGTGTTTTCCAGCCATGCCCCTTGGCTATGTAGAAAGGAGGCACCACAACTGGGCACAAGTAGCAGATTAGAGTAGGCTTGCAGCTTGCACACAAAAGAAAAGCTGGCTAAGACTGATTGGGCTCTGACTTTGAAACTCTGTAGAGTACTACATAGCTTGCATCTGTCCTGCAATCAAATGCAATCGTTGCTGAAAGAAAGCATCGTGACCGCCATGTAAGATAGGTTAATTTTCTTTGCTGGGTTTCCTTTTGTTGTCCTTCCAGGCTTTCAAGATGGCGTGAGGTCAAGTTCAAACAGCCGGAGCGGCAGTCATGATCGGCACGAGGAGCACACGGACACGTCGGATAGCGAGTCTTTCTCTCTGCAGGTTCGCAAGCTCAACCAGCAGCCTCAGATCCGCAAGCCGGGGGAACGGGGCTATGATCCCAACAGGTAATAACCCAGGATTTCTGAGCGAACAAGCATTTAAAGGCCACCTCCCTCCGAGCCTGCCCCTCTCCATTGTGAGGGTTATCTATAAGGCCTCACAGAATGACCCCTCCACTAAGTCCATCCATTACTATTTTCTCTACCGATTAGATACCGGCTGCACTTTGAGCGGGAAAGCAGGGAGGAAGTGGAGCGGAGGAAAAAGATTGCCCGGGAGAAAATCTTGGAACCAGTGCCAGAAATCGAGACAGAGGTGGACATAGAAGATGTTTACAAGACTGGCTCAGGTAGGTGAAGACGATCAAGAAAAAGCTTCTTGGTGGGTGGATGAACCTGAAGGGCTTCCCTCTCCCGGCCTCCTGCCTTCCCCCTGCCATTTCTTGCTTTCCTGGTCCCTGGAGGTCTTGCTTCAGGCAGGGGATCCATTTTAATTTTAATTACCTGTAATTTTAATTACCTTTTAATTACCTGAAACGCATGAACGAGTCTGAAGGTTCAGCGACCAACGTTCTGCTCCTCCGTCTGTTTCTAAACTCAGCGCAGCGTAAATCTCTTACTGGGTTTTTCCAATCTGCTGGCTGGGAAAAAAAAACAAAAACCCGGAAGTTCCAATCCCAAGATATCTGAAGGACATGAAGTTGGTTTGGATAGCAGATCCTGGTTTTGCCCAACTGCGCTAACCGCTACGTTAGAGTCTTTGATAATTTTCCCATTCTTAATACAGGTAGCCCTTGACTTAGGACCACAACTGAGCCCCAAATTTCTGTTTGCTAAGCGGGACAGTTGTTAAGTGGGTTTTCCTCCATTTTACGACCTCTCTTGCCACTGCTGTTTAAGTTAACCACTGCAATAGTTAAGTTAGTAACACGGTTGTAAAGTGAATCTGGCTTCCCCATTGACTTTGCTTGTGATACCGTAACCGTCATAACCAGTTGCCCAGCGTCCGAATTTTGATCAAGTGACCATGGGGATGCTTCAACCGTTGTAAGTGTGAAAAACAGTCATAAATTACTTGTGATGACCTGGAGTGTGGCACAAAGGCAACACAGTCAGATAATCAGTAGGAGTCCCTTTATTAGCTCCAACTTTGCCCCCAATGTCCTGGTTACCTTCTGGCTGGAGAAAAACTCTCCTAGTCTTTGGGTACAGAGAATCAAGTCCAAAACATGGTCAACAAAAATTGTAGGTCCAATCAAGGCAAAATGAGGTAATTAGCTCGGCAGGGCAGGAGCAAGAATTCCAGATGTGAAGGCACAGCAATAACTCAAACGGTTGGGAAGATTCCAGGAACACAGATAACTAAAGTCAACACAAGATAAACTCACATTTGCTCTCAGCAGCTGCCACACTCAGCAAGCATCTCTTTTAAACTCTCATTCCCACATGTGGCTAATGAAGGGAATCAGGGCCCTTTCCTCCCCCATAAGCCACACAACCCACGTTACTCTCTTCTCCATTCCTCCTTGCATGCCCTAGAATGAAAAGGGTGGGCCTGGGTCTTCCTCTGAACTCCCTCTCCCTTGATCTACCTCTCCCCTGCTTTGCTCAGCTGAACTTTGCCCTTTCCCAGGTTCCTCCACAGCCAATGGAGCCACGCTCCCACTCCCTGTCAGCTGTATGTCTTCCTCCTCGGATTCAGACTGCGACAGGGACATGACATTACATTTTTCAGTGCCATTGTGTAACTTCAAACAGTCACTAAATGAATAGTTGTAAGTTGAGGACCACTTGTATCATCCTTCTTGTGATAAGGTCCCTTCTTTCTCAGTCAAAATTAATTTAATGTCATTACTGTAGCAACCACAGAACTGCTATCAAGACATTACTTATCCTTCTCTAACATTGACTCACATTGCCTGATTTTCAGATGCATTCTTAGAGAAGAAAGAGCATAAGAGGTGGTGTACATTTCTTGGTTCAGAATATTTGTAGCCTCTTCGGATTTTATTCTCACTTCCTTCGTGATGCTGGCAGGTTTTCCTGACGCTTCTTGTGTTTTTCTTTTTCCAATAGTACTAGATTTTCCTAAACGTCCCCCTTGGAATTACCAAATGAGCAAGGATCAATTGTTGGCCCGAGAGGAAAAGTGTTTCCGGGAGTATCTTGAAAATATCTATAGTACATTCCAGCCCAGCCAGTTGAGTTACTTTGAGCACAATCTGGAGGTAAGCCCTTGGAAGATCTAAGCTGTATCACACCCCCGGGCAGCCAATTTCAAGCCCCCAGGATGCATTGGAGATCAGCTTTGGGGAAGAAAATGCATGCCTTAAACCTCCAAGAGATTTAAGTCTCCTATATATATCCCTTAAACCTCAGAATGCAAGGCAACACTGACTACAGGTACTCCTCAACTAAATAATTATAACGGACCCTGGAGTTTCTATTGTACATTATAACTGTCATAAGTTGAGGCACCCACGTGACCAACCCAATTTTCTGACATTTTTTTGCGGAGGTTGTTGAAAGTGAACATGATGGTTGTTCAATGAATGTTGCAGTTGTTAGGTGAATGCCACAGTTAAGTGAATGGTGTGGTCAGCAATAACAATAGCACTTAGACTTATAGACTGCTCCATAGTGCTTTTACAGCCTTCTCTAAGCAAGTTACAGAGTCAGCATGTTGCCCCCAACAATCTGTATCCTCATTTTACTGACCTCGGGAGGATAGAAGGCTGAGTCAACCTTGAGCCGGTCAGGATCAAACTCCTGGCAATGGGCAGAGTTAGCCTGCAATACTGCATTCTAACCACTGTGCCACCATGGCTCCTTAAATGAACCCATTGGGCCACAATGGACGCTTTTTGCTGGAAACCGGAAATATATGCCGGGTTCTGGCAAAAATCATTGCAAATCATAATTACATGACTGTTGGGTGCTGCAGACAAGCCCTAAATGCAGGCCAGTTGCTAAGTGCCTAAAATGCCATCTTGTAATTGGGTCGGGGGGCACGGCGGACAGACATGGGGCAGCCAATAGGATTTTGAATCTTGAGTTGTAAATATCTTTGGGGTGCATGTGTGGGAGGTCCATTGTAATGTTGAATGGTTGCTAAGTGACCGGTCTTAAGTCAAGGACTACCTGTATTTCAGCTGTCCACCTGCCAGTGATGACATGGTATCATGGCAGAGCACTGCCTGGGTTGAAAAATGTTGTTTCCTTTTCCCTTTTGGGCGAGCTTTGAATCTGGGCTGTGTGAAAGCTGTATGTCTTCTTGTGTATAGGATAAGGTAAAGGTTCCCCTTGCACGTACAGTACGCATTAGCCATTTCTGGCTCTAGGGGGCAGTGCTCATCTCCGTTACAGAGCCGAAGAGCCAGCACTGTCCAAAGATGTCTCCATGGTCATGTGGCCGGCATGACTAAATGCTGAAGGCACACAGAACACTCCCCACTAAAATGGTCCCTATTTTTCTACTTGCATTTTTACGTGCTTTCGAACTGCTAGATTGGCAGAAGCTGGGACAAGTAACTGGAGCTCACTCCATTACGCAGCGCTAGGGATTCGAACCGCCAAACTGCTGACCTTTCTGATGGACAAGCTCAGCGTCTTAGCCACTAAGCCACAGCGTCCCTTATGTAAAGTCTTATGTAAAATCCTGTATTTAAAATCTAATTATGTTTAGGATACATAATTAGATTTTAGAAAGAGCCATGCGGCCATAGAGGTGATCAACAATATTAATTATCTGGGGGTTGCAGATAACTAACAATCGGAATTGGTCTCTCCACACGCCATCCTGTTAGTGAAATCCATTCATTTTCCTTCTGTATCCAGGATATATTTTTCAGTTTCTGTCCAAGAGGCTTACAATATAGAAGAATGGAAAATCTCATGACCTTTGCATGTTTATTACCCTTGCTTGGATGTAGGCTTTTTTCATAGTACAACACATTAACAAAAAGCTAGTAAAATGCATACGTTACATGTCACACATGCCAAATTATTTGGTATGCCTGTGCTGATTCTGCCCCTTTCATGAACCCGGGACACTGGATTCCGTTCCCTTAATTTGCAACGATCAAAGGTTGTCCATCAGTCTTGATAGTCCATGCATTTGGAGGGGAGCCATCAGTTTGGGGGTGTCCTTGTATTAGTAGATTCTTGGAATAAACCCTGTACCATTTGAGGACTGGGATTGATTGGGTAATATTAATTATATGGCTCCAAGAAGAAAAGTTGAAAGGGGCACAAAATCTATGGGGTTCTTGCTGCTCTGTGAGCTTAGTTGTTTTTTGTTGCAGATGTTTCATTACACGGCTAGGTAACATCACCAATGCTACAAAGGGGGTTAAGGCTTGCTCCCCTTTTACATACATACAGATATTCCTCGATTTACAACAGTTCATTTATTGACTGCTCAGAGTTACAACGGCGCTGAAAAATGTGACTTATGGCCGTTTTTCGCAGTTACAACCTTTGCAGCATCCCCACGATCGTATGATCGAAATTCAGGCGCTTGGCAACCGCTTCGTATTAATGACCGTTGCCATGTCCCCAGGTCATGTGCCTTATCCCCTTTTGCGACCTTCTGATAGGCATCGCCAATGGGGAATCCAGATTCACTTAACAACGGGGGTTGCTAACTTATCAGGTGCTCTGCTTCACTTAACCATTGTGGCAAGAAATGTGGTAAAATAGGGCAAAACTCGCTTGAATGTCCCACTTAACAACATAAATGATGGTCGTAAGTCGAGGACTATCTGTACTGACATACAGGCTTTGTGGAAGTGGTGATTCCTTGGTTAGGCTGTTGTTTACTGTTGTGTTGTTTGTCTGAGTTGGTAGTTCTTAGATTGGGGAAGTTCCAACACTTGTTACCTAGTTTGGGCAATGAAATGTTTTCAAGAAAACAACCAAACTCCGAGAGCAGTTCAACCCTGAACTACACATGTATTCTGTTCTATTAGTAATACAGAGTCTGGTCAGAGTTGTCGTGTCTGGCTCATTAGGGGAAGATAGATTCTACAGAAGGCTTTTTTTTAATGTCTTGATTTCTTTTCTAGACATGGAGGCAGCTATGGCGTGTCCTGGAGATGTCAGACATCGTGTTGCTTATTACAGACATTCGACACCCGGTGAGAATCTTATTGATGGCTCTTGCAGTTTTCTGTGGGTTTGGATTCACCCAAAAATTGTTCTGCAGGTGTTAATAGAGTGGCATGGAAGACTCAGGTGTTGGCATTCTATTTGCCTTTTTAAAATTTTTCTTCTGTAGTTGTTGAATTCACATACTGTTTATTCATCCAAGCTTTAAAGATCTGGAGATGTTTGATCATTCACTCTGCCCTAATGGACGGAGTTCTTTTACTTTTAAATGATGGAATGAAGAGGTTTTTATTCACCAAGTGACAATAAACAGTAATAGGGACACCTGATAGAAGAGGCCAGCCCTGTGATATAACACCTACCTATTTACTACTAAAACTCTCATGTCTGTAACCTTTAACTGGGTGAAATGGTGCACCCTCCTATAGAGCAAAACCTCCAATCGACGTATCTAAAATGGGGCTGGCTTACAGAATCCATCCAAAATCTGGGACCATAACTTGAAATGTAGCAGATTTTATAAGACATTTTGTGACATAAAAATTGTCGTATAAAGCATTTTATGTTGTCATAACATAATGTCATAAAAGATTTCCTGCAGTCAGCTCCTGATGGTTTGGCTGTGCTAAACAGGTGGACACGAGTGCTTTCAAGGTAGACACATCTCTGCCTTGGAACGCACGTCTCTCTCTGAATTTTTTAGAACCTTTCTAGTACATTAGAAGCTCTGCCACTTTTGAAGGCATTGACGTATCTGGAGAGGAAATATCTAAAAAAAGGATGACCTGATGCCCCAATGAGTCATGGTTCGTTCAGCTGAAATTAAAGCCAGGGCTCTTGATCTTTGTCCTAAGAAAGGTGGCTGGATGGCAACATCAGTCAGCCTCAACAAAGAAGACCAATGGTTAAGGAAGAGAGCCAGTCTGGTCTAATGGTTTGAGGCCTAAGGCTAGAAAGCGGGAGACCCTAAATTCAAATCCCATCTTTGACGTGAAAGCCAGCTGGTGACTTTGGGCCCAGTCGCTCTCTTTCAGCCTCACAGGATTATTGTTGTGGGGAAAATAGGAGGAGGAAGGTATGTAGGATATGTTCACTACCTTGAATCATTTGTAACAATAATAAAGGCAAATTGTTTGAGGCCAAAAATGAAACTACCGTTCTGACCTAGGCTTCCCCCAACACCACGAAGCTGAATCCTCACCCTGATAAAAAAAAACCTTTTATTTGATTTACAATGAATTTCCTCTCCAACCAAGTCCCAGCCAACAGTCTTTCATGATAGTTCCCAATTACAGACCTTTCTCCGCCTTGTAGAGGGGCCTCAGGCTTATATCTTTCAGACGCCGCAATACTTGGCAAGCATGCTGGAATGAACTATTTGTCTCCTGCAAAGCCCCACCACCCTTTTGCTACTCTTTTATTCTCTAGGGGAAGGGCCATTTACCATACACCTGTGCTTTACTCCCAAGTTGGCCCTTGTTCCTCAGCCGTTCCCTTCGTCTGGCAACTCTGCGCATGCGCACACTGGGAACAGGCTCCAGCTGTTCTTCTACCTCACTGATGTCCGACTCCAAAGGCAGCTGATAACTGTCGGATGGCCCTGGCCCCATCTCTACCTCTGACGCAGAGCCCTCGTCAGAGCCTTCCCCAGACTCTAGGACTGGCTCATGTTGCTCCCCAACCTCCTCCGTGTCCGAATCTGCTGGTTGCTGTCAGGCCACAACAAACACTGTTTCCAGGCACTGTTTTAGAGAAGCATAGATTTTAAATTACTAACTACATCTAAAGAGCCACATTCGTGTTCATGTTAACATACGGGATTCTAATTTTCCATAAGTCCAAGTTGTGCAGAGAATGCACAGATGCATGCAGATCCCGGGGCATTGTCCCTTCAGGTCTTTAGAAAGGGGAAAAGGCATACAGCAACATCTAGTTTAGCTGTCCCGTACAGGTAATCCTCGACTTACGACCACAATTGAGCCCAAAATTCACATTGCTAAGTGAGACAGTTAAGTGAATTTTGCCCCATTTTACAACCTGTCTTGTCACCGTTGTTAAGGGAATCACTGCAGCTGTTAAGTTAGTAGCATATTTCTTAAGTGAATCTGGCTCCCCCCCCCCCCCAATGGCTTGTCAGAAGGTCGGAAAAGGGGATCATATGATCCTGCAGCCGTCATAAATATGAGTCAGTTGCCAAGCATCCAGATTTTGATCACGCAGCCATGGGGGAATGCTACAACGGTTGTAAGTGTGAAAAACGGTCGTAAGTGGCTTTTCCCAGTGATGTTGTAACTTCAAACGGTCATGAAATGAATTGTAAGTCGAGGACTACCTGTATTCATGTTTGGAAAGAAATAAAAGCCAACAGAGATGAGACTATATTTCATTAAACCCACCTTCAGTTTCCTGTCATCTCAAATTAAGCAAACCATCCTTTCTAGAAAATTGAGTGGTGCAGTGGCCTAGGGGGTGGAGCTCTCACCTCACGATCAGGAGGCTGCGAGTTTGATCCCAGATAGCGGTAGATATTTCTCTCTCTGGGCACAATGAGTAAATTATCTGTTGCGAACTCTGCATTGGTGACAGGATGGGCATCTGGCCAGTAAAGACTCAAGCTTCATTCAGTTGCCCCAACCTCCACCCCAGTGTAAGAGATTAGGGGGTCATTAAAAGACACCCCCCCCCAGAATCCTTTCTAGAAAACTGCAATCAGGATGGTGCCCTATTTTTCTAAATCTTCCCCATTATATCTTTTCCCTTTTTCAAACCTTTCTTGTTCAGGTCATCAGCTTCTCCCCGGCCCTCTATGAGTTTGTCACCAAGCAAATGAAGAAAAACCTCATCTTGGTACTGAATAAGATTGATCTGGCCCCACCAGCCCTGGTGGTGGCCTGGAAGTATTATTTCAAGAGTCGGTTCCCCGAGATCCACGTGATCTATTTCACTTCTTACCCACAGCAAGACCAAGATCCCGGTGAAGGTATTTTCTGAAATATATTTATAAATTTTCATGGCTACTAGTGGATGCTGTAGTTCAGTGTAATTCTGCATTAGTTGAGCTGTCACAGGCTTAGCATAGCACAATGCTATGCTATGTATGCTATGAGAGAAATAGAATTATATTGGTAGGCCTCGACTTACAACAGTTCATTTAGTGACGGTTCAAAGTTACAGTGGCACTGAAAAAAGTGAATTATGACCATTTTCCACACTTACAACCTTTATAGCATCCCCATGATCGTGTGATCAAAGTTCAGGTGCTTGGCAACTGTTTCATACTTACGACCGTTGCCGTTTCCTGAGGTTGTGTGATCCCCTCTTGTGACCTTTTGACAAGCAAAATAGGTGATGAAGCCAGATTCACTTAGCAACCGGGTTACCAACTTATCAACTGCAGTGATTCGCTTAACAGCCGCGGCAAGAAGTGTCTAAATGGGGCAAAATTCACTTAACAGAAATTTGGGGCTCAATTGTGGTCATAAGTCGAGGACTAGCTGTAATGGTTTCTTTTCTTTTTTCTTTCTTTCTTTCTTTCTTTTTTTTTTTGTTACAAGAGGAAATTTGGGTTTATGGCATTCCACAGTCATGTTACCGTGATTTACCTAACAACTATCGTTTGCTTAATTGCCAAAAAAAAAAAGTTATAAAATTGGGCCCAGTCATGTGGTGACTCCCTTTACAATTGGCACGACTTATGACCATGATTTTGGGCTCAGTTATGCTTGTAAGTTGAGGACTCCCTGTGTGGAAGTGGTTTGCCTTCAACAACTTCTGGAATATTTCTTTAATCACATCTTGAGATTTCTTAGTAGTTTCTCTTTTTGACCAGGTAGGGTCAGGGAAGTGCTACATCCTGACAAGATCAGTGTGGGGAGAAGCAGCTGGGTTTGTTGGGATATTCAGGACCTCTTTGTCTTCTGGCCAGTATTCAAAATAACTGGGCAGCCAACAATGTAAACATTATCAGAATCATTCTTATTAATAATGGTTTGTTACATTTATATCACACACACCCCATAGCAACCTCCCAGGAACCCTGAGTGGTTTGTGGCCTTGATTCCTCCCCTATCCACTACTTCACATGTCACAGATATTATCTAAAGTTTTGGCTTCGAATCTTAACCTGGAACCTTCTGCCTTCTTTCTTTCTCCTTGCAGTGTTCAAAAAACGTCGGAAGCGTCGAAAGGGCTGGAGCATAGCTATGGGGCCCAATCAGCTACTCAGCTCCTGTGAGACTATCACAGCTGGCAAAGGTGTGACTGCTCTCACATTTGGGCTGGGCCTGTTTTGACCTGGGATGAAATTTCTCCCTAAAAGTCAGCGCCAGGATGGTTCACTTTTGGGCTAGCAAGGAAAAGTGTCAGAAGTTGAGGGTTCAAATAAGCCATTTTCTTTTCCTTGAAACCCAGCCACTTTGGCTCAGTTGACTAAAGAATAATCTCTGGCTTAGCTCATATACTCAGAAACGTTCTCCAGTTTGTCATTAAATTTGGAGTAAAATGGTTTTAACAAGGTCACACGATACAGATCTGGAATAATGTCAGATTTCCAAGCGATGAAATCCATTTAAAAAGAACAAAGTCCATCTTCCAAGACAAATTCTTTTATTTAGGAAAGCATCAAATTGACAAAGTCCGTGGTAATTCCAGATCTGACACAACCCGGAATTACCCCATAATATTAAAAGTTAGAAACAACCCCCAAAAGTCACATTCTCCAATAGAAGAAATTCAGCGTTGCTTGATGTCATAAAACTCCACCTCAACGGGCCCAAGCATGGACAGCTCGTTTCCCATGAATCACCTAGCCAAAACAATTCTCTTTATCTCCACTCCTCCCCACTTAGGAATGTGGCAAGCCCAAAACCCTTCCCTCCATGACTACCACAGAGAAAGTAAAAAAAAGAATATATACTAAGACTAACTAAAATGGCCACACTTATGTCAATTTTGGGCTTGACAGAGCGTTTTGATTTCGTCCACTTAATTTGACATACATATTAAGCAACAAATTGCCCATTTTAAGTTTAATTTTATTTGTTTACCCCTTTATAATTTTTATAAACAGCTGAAGGTGAGGTAGATACCCAATACTTCTTCCTCCTCCTCCTTTCCTCATAGCAACAGCCCTTCGAGGTAAGTTGGGCTGAGAGGGAGTGACTGGCCCAGCCAGTTTTCATGCCTAAGGTAGGACTAGAACTCACTGTCTCCTGGTTTCTAGGCCAGCACCTTAAACACTAGACCAAACTGGCTCTCATTTATTTATTTATTTATTTCTAGATTTCTATCTCCCCTTCTCACAGAATTTGCCCAGTTCAAGGCACCACACAGAGCAAGTTCTCCTATGCGGTGGGTTGGTGTGATAGACAAGGACAATGGCCAACCAGCTGGCTTCATGCCCAAGGCAGGACTGGAACTCACTGTCTCCTGGTTTTTAATCCAGCACTTTCACCCCCCCCCCACTACACTTAAGTAGCTGGCCATTTCTGCTACTATTGTAATTTCCCCTCTCTTTTTGACAGTGGACTTGAATAGCTGGAAGGAGAAGATTGAGCGGGATGCTGCCGGTGCTGGCCTGCTGCTGGATGACTCTGAGGAAGAGGACGAAGATGACCGAAGTATGACCGTGCTGGTGGAGCATCATTCAGATGTAGCTATGGAGGGTGGTGGAATCTCCCAGGAACTCTACAAAGATGGAATCTTGACAGTCGGCTGCATAGGTGAGTCTGCCCTCAAAGTCACTCAGCAGGAGTGTAGTAAGGAGTATTTCTAGGACCACTTTTGAGGAGGAGGGTTGGTGGAGTTGCTTCCCAGGTGCCGAAGAAGGACATGGACTACAACAGGTCCAGATTTGCATACAAAACACAAAGTTAGTGGTGTGTTACTGATAGGGCAATGGTATACATATTTTTTTGGAAGTATAGGTAGTCCTCTGCTTACGATTACAGTGGAGCCTGGAATTTTGGTTGTATGTTGTTGTGGTTGTAAGTTGAAGCACCATCTGACCGGGCTTAAAGTTTTGACTGTTTTTAACAATGGTTATAAAGCAACTCACCACGGTTGTTAATTGAATCATATGGTTGTTAAGTCAACCGTATGGTTATTAAACAAATCCAGCATATCCAATGGTGTTTTTGCATTTTCTGGCCAGGAAATGGCAAAAAAAAAACCATTGCACATCATGTTCATATGAGTGCAGAACACTGTAACCAATCCCAAAGGTGCTTTTTCAAGAGGCAACTGGACTTCCTGGTTTTTCTTTGAAGACGTTCTGCTTGTCATCCAAGAAGCTTCTTCAGCTCTGAGTGAAGAATGGAATGGAAGGATTCAGGATCCAATCAGAGCTGAAGAAGCTTCTTGGATGAGAAGCAAAACATCTTCAAAGAAAAACAAAGAAAGTCCAGTTGCCTCTTGAAAAAGCACTTTTGGGACAACCATGACCTGGATGACTGAGAATCTCCACAGACACTGTAACCAATCATAAGTGCAAGTTGGTTGTCAAATACCCAAATATGATCACATGATGCAGGAATGATGGTGACAATTATGTTAAGAAAGGGTCGTGAGTAGCTTTTCAAAAGTGTGCCGTAACTTCAAATGGCGATTGAATGATCTGTTGTAAATTGAGAACTCCCTCTAATGCCTACTGAATTCACATTTTGAATGGCAGGTTAAGGAACTGGCTAAAGTGTTGGGTTCCTCTTGGTGGGATTTTGAGTTCAGGTTCTCTCTTGTTCGTGGATCTCTTGACAGAAAGTTGCAGCCAGCTTTCTCTCTTGACCTAATTAATTTCATAGAATTATTATGAGGATAACCATCCTGAGCCCCTCACAAGGAAAGGTAAGATCAGACAGCAGGGTAGCAAAACCTCAATTTAATGGACTCCTCTTGAGGAGATTTCAGTTATGGTGGACTGTATTTCTGTCTAGACATTCCTCTGCCTCTGAAATACTGTAATAGCTATGTTCATTGCACTTGAAGTAGTCCAGACAAGATGCTCAGCAAATATATAATAGAAAAAAAGCAACATTTCTTATTTGTTCCATTTTGCATAATTTGCAGTATTGTATCATAATGCAAATGACATTGATTTACGTCACGGCTTCCAGGTGCAAATCAAGCAGACTGACTCACGTTACGATTTTGCATAATTTGTGTCATGACACCCTTATGCAGATTGATTTCAATTTCACAGTCTCATATTTAATGGACATTTGCGATGAGTAGGCACTTCTTCCCCGGAACAGTCCATTAAATCCAAGTTTTCTTTAATAACAACTAAAAACGTGGAATGCTGTACAGCATTATAAATTGCTGATTAGAGGTGCTAAATATAGCCACTGTAGTTTCTCCTTTGTTCTTAGCTAAGGTTTTGAATGGATGAAAAGGTAACTTGGCCATGGTTTAGTTCAGGAGTCTCCAAACTTGGCAACTTTAAGGTATGACTGGCTGAGGAATTCTGGGAGTTGAAGTCCAGAAGTCTTAAAGTTTGGAGATTCCTGGTTTAGTTGATATATAGATGGAAGTTGTGCCATGCAGGCTGAGAAAAAGGGAGAAGCTGATTTCTGCTATATCAATTTGTTATAATAAATAAGCAAGGAAGTTGAGGCAGACCATCTGGCCCAACATTTTGTTTTGTGGAAGAACTGGAGGGTCCCCCAAGCAAACTTTTTAAGCCAACGGTTTTGATTAATGGTGGAGATGATGAGAGCCATTTTGATTTTGTCCTTCCCTTTCCCCCTCCCTGCAGGCTTTCCCAACGTGGGCAAGTCCTCCCTCATTAACGGGCTGGTAGGCCACAAAGTGGTGAGCGTCTCCCGCACTCCCGGTCATACTAAGTACTTCCAGACCTACTTCCTTACACCCACAGTCAAGTTGTGCGATTGTCCGGGGCTCATCTTCCCGTCTGTTGTTGACAGGAAACAGCAGGTAAGAGTTGGAAAAGGGGAAAAGTAAAGGTTTCCTGTCCAGCGGGAATAGCACTTGGGTTATAGTTGAATATAAATGCGAATTGTGTTTCTGTCAAACTCCAATGCTGTGGGAGTTTGTGAGTGGGCGCATAAAGGATTGAACATCCTTACACTGTAAATAGTTGGACTATTGTTCTATGTCTCTGCAGTAAGACCTCTCTAGACTCTAGACAGGAGTTTCACCAACCCAACGTTGAGCTGAATTTTCTTCCAACTCATGGCGCATTTTGCAAGATAGTGAGAATTTTAAGTGATTTTTCTAGGGTTTCTTCACATGCAGGTATTATAACTGAGTTCGTACATCCTTTGATCACTCAGCCAATTCTGGTAGAGTATTGCAGACGGATCCTATCACCGATCCAACTGGAAAAGTCAGATTTGATGTCAAAAAAGAGGCTTTGACATTTGAAGAGGCACAAACTTATCGTTTAGCTGCAACTATGTAGTCACCATGTCTTTTTTTTCAGGCTCGTCCAGCTTCCCTCTATCTTCAGTCGTTTAAGGGAATGATTGCGGCAAAAAAATTGCAGGCGGTTGCTTTGCTGATGTTTTTATGAACTTTGAAGCCCCTTTCTCGAATTGTCACTGAAGGCCTGGACAGGCCTACTTTGCTAACTGGAAAGATTGCTTGTGATTCCTATGCTAGTGTAGCGTTCGATGAAAATCACTATAGGAGGCAATTTTATTTGTTTGTGTCCTGCCTTTATGACTTAAGGTGGTGAACATATTTAATGCACCTTCCTCATCCTATTTTCCCCACAATAACAACAACCCTGTGAGGTGAATTGGCCTGAGAGAGAGAGAGCAACTCTGTGCCTCTCTTAACTCCTTTGACTAAGAACTAAGGAAAATAATTGAGGATGTCTAATCTGAAAAAGCCCATTTATTTTGTTGATGCCTCTAGATCTGAGTGATGGACATAACTTGTGTGAATCAACTGGAAAGATCTTAAAAGACAGTTGGGAGGTCTTAAGTACCAGTGCAAATCTCTTGTTCAGTGTCCCTTTCAGCCCATGAAGGCTTATGTAAGGCTACTTCAACATATTTTTACCGAGACAGATTAGGAAGCATTCAGGAAGATTTGTGATGGAAAAAACGTCATGCTTTCTTCCATGATGATTAGAGAAGAATGTGCCTTCCCTTGTTAAAAATCAGTATATCTGCCCACCAGGCTGCATTGCTGGGGCAGGGAATGTTTCATGGCTGCAGAAAACGAGACACCCAGATGCTCTTTGGCGAGAGTATCACAAACTTGGATCTCCTGTACTGGAGCATCTGCTAAGAAAATGAAAAAAAAAAAATCAGACTGAAATCAAAACTTTTCATTGTCTTAGCAGATGTTCCAGTACAGGAGATCCAGTATAGGAGATCACCAAAGAGCATCTCGGTCAGTGGTGGGATTCAAAAATTTTTTACTACTGGTTCTGTGGGCGTGATTTGGTGGACGTGGTGTGGCTTGGTGGGCGTGGCAGGGGAAGGATACTATAAACTCCTCATTCCCTCTCCACTCCTGGGGGAAGGTTACTGCAAAATCCCCATTCCCTCCCCACCCCACTAACCTGCTTTCCAGCTCTGTTCTCCTGTGCAGGGCAACAAAAGGAGACCCAGCCGATCAGCTGGGACTCGGGAGGCAGAGAATAGATGGGGGCGGGGCCAGTCAGAGGTGGTATTTTCCGATTCTCCCAACTACTCAAAATTTCCGCTACCGGTTCTCCAGAACTGTCAGAACCGGCTGAATACCACCTCTGATCTGGGTGTCTCATCTGCTGCAGCCATGAAACATTCGCTGCCCCAGCAGTGCAGCCTGGTGGGCAAAATATTGATTTTTTTTTTTAACAAGGGAAGGGATATTCTTCTCTAACTGTCATAGAACAAGGGCATGGCATTTTTGTCATCATAATTTCCCTGCATGCTTCCTAATCGGACTGAAGGAGATTTTAAAAACGAACCTTTGATTTTGGGTTTTACTCAGAGGTGGGCTTCACATAATTTAACAACTGGTTTGCCTAGTGCAGAACCCAAAAATGTTGAGAGTATGCGTGTGTGCCTTCCACGCTTGCGCTGGGCTTCAAACACACCACAATTTCATGCGTGCAGCTTCCAGCACACCTTCTCGGGCATCCGCCATGTATAGAGCAGGTGAGGCACGGAAATCAGCAGGGCTGCGTGGGTGGAGCGAGCGAGCCAGAGAGTGAGATATATAGGACGGGATAGCACCGGGGTGGGGCCCAGACGGGCCCAGCCAGTGGGCGGAACTGCCGGTACGGGCAAACCGGTCCCAACCGGCACCTGCCTACCTCTGTTTTTACTGATTAGGTTTATGCGTTGTGATAGAAACGGCTAGTTTATTATGGAAAAGCAAAGAAGTTTGAGGTTCGATGTGAACGGTTTATTCTACTGCAACAGAGGCAGTCGGAAGCCAATGCTTTTTTGTTTCTTTTCTCCCTCCCCTCCTCCCCCCCCCCACTGCGGCCTACTATTTGCTTTTGTGTTTTTGTGTTTTATTCTATAAAACGTTATAAAGACGAGAAGAAGAAGAAAGTCTGAAGGAGAGATTTTGTTTCTGAGCTTCTATTATGCAATTCAGGGGTGTTAGTTGGGAGAGACACGGGATGACTCAATGTTGCTGATAGCTGACAGATGAGTCTTGTGTTGCAGGAAAGGATGTTTTGAGCTAGGCTCGTATCTTTTGTTTAAAAAAAAACCCTCCCTTCTTTTCTCCATTTTTTTTGGTCTGCCCACACCTGCAAAGTAAATCCAGTAGCAGCCCTTGGCAAATAACAAATCCTTCTTGTTTTGATTTAATTTTTCAGATATTGGCTGGTATCTACCCTATTTCTCAGATCCAGGAGCCCTATACTTCTGTGGGGTACTTGGCTAACCGGATTCCGGTGCAGGCCTTGCTCAAGCTGCGGCATCCTGACGCCGAACCTGGCAAGCCTGAACCCCCTTGGTGTGCCTGGGATGTATGTGAAGGTAACAGTGCTGAAGCAACCATTTCTCCAGCTGAGTTGGATGTCCGACGTGGCTTTAACCTGTCAGCCTGAGAAGCCGTTTTTCTCTTGGAGCTTCTAGGCTGCCATATTTAGTGCCTGGGAATTTGGGAGGTTTTTTTTTTTTAAAGGAGCAGTGCATACTTAGCCACAACAACATTCCTTCTAAGAGAGTCAAGGACATTTCACCCTGCACCTGAAGGGGAGTGACTGGGGGTAGTCTTCAGATGGGACGAAGACATGATTGTGTTCTGACCAAGGCTTCCTGAGACAGTTACATGCTGTTTCCAAAACCCTTTTTTAAAAAAAAATTCAACAGCTGTGAATTATAGGCATTCACAGCCCATAATGAGTCCCAAACAATTTATGAATAGTCCCGCAGAAGTCTGCCACAGTCTTTCGGGATAAGGCTGATAAGCACCCTCCTTTATCTTCCTTGAAATGGTACCATCGACTAAATTACAAGGCCAAACGGAGCGCAAAGTCAACACGGAGCTTCAGATTTTAAACCGACCAGAACGAACAAAAGTTGCTTCCTGCAAAGGCTCATGTCCTTTTGCTCCTCCTTTATGTCTTATGGGAGGGGCCAATCATCTCCAAGCCTTACTCCCGAGTCGCCCCATTTGTCTTAACTGTTTTTGCCTTCTGGCAGCTCTGCACAAGCTCACACTGGGAATAGGCTCCCCCTTTTCCTCTGCCTTGCTGATATCAGATTCTGGAGGCTCTGGAGCCCACACATAACTCAGATGGCCCTGGCCCCATCTCTGTGTCGAACGCAGATCCCTCGTCCGAGCCCTCCCCAGACTCCAGAACTGGCCCATGTTCCTCCCCACTGTCCGACTCTGCTGCCAGCTCTGCAGGCCGCCGGTGGACCACAACAGATTGGGCCATGTGATGGACTGATGGAAGGCAGGGGATGGATCTTTGATTTTCTTTTGGAGAAGAAGGGAAAACCCGGAACTCTCCGATTCGGGTTTTCCCAGATGTTGTCAATATGACTTCTCTAATAAAATGGAACTTTGAGGAAGTGATTGTCTTGGACTTGTCTGTTTTGGAGGTTGTTACTTGGAACGCTGGCACTAACCCTCACATCCTCTTCTCTGTTTTTTTAAGCCTGGGCTGAGAAACGAGGTTACAAGACAGCCAAAGGAGCCCGGAATGATGTTTACCGAGCAGCCAACAGTCTTCTACGCCTCGCAGTCGATGGACGGCTCTGTGTCTGTATGCGACCTCCGGGCTACACGTCACACAAAGGTGTCCGACAAGATGCCTCTTTAAGCCGTTTCTCCATCACTTCCAAAGGGAAGTGGGGATCTCTAGCCTGGTGCTCTTCAGATAGATGGGACTTCTGTAATTCTCAATGAATCCAGCATCTTTGGCAGGTTTCCAGGCTGGAGAAAACTGGTCAAGGCAAATAGGCAAGGCCTTATGAAGGACTCACATCTAGCTGGCCTGGAATCATGCATAATTGCTAGAAAGGATGATCATATCCTGATAAATTCCCATTTGTTTTTTCTCAATACCGATAATCCTTGACTTATGGCCACAATTGATCCCAAAATATCCATTGCTAAGCAAGGCAGTTGTTCAGTGAGTTCTGCCCCATTTTTATGACCTTTCTTGCCGCAGTTGTTAAGTGAATCGTGTGGTTGTTGAACAACTCTGGCTTCCCGCACTGACTTTACTTGTCGAACGCAGGCTGGGAAGGTTGCAAAAGTTGATCACACGACTCTGGGACAATGCAACTGTCAAGACTCCGACATGCACCCCCATTCAAATCATAAGTCTCTAGCCGCATCTCTCAGAGTAAAAAAGTTTAATTTATTAGGAGTTAACATGTCGGTATTTCCTGGTTGCAGACGACTCTTCACCCTTGACCCTGGTCTTCCCCCATCCCCCTGGATGTATCTTCTCCAATGAGACACATCCATAGTCAAGAGTCATCAATCATGCTCTCCAGTAATAATCATGCGTGCCAACAGCTTTGGCTGCCAAGGCGATTATCTGAAGCATTTAAGGAATGCACTGCTTTCCCCCACTCCCTTTGTACTGGCAACTAAAAAGACCAAAGAAGTATTTTTTAGTTGACTGCAACCATCATAAACACATGCCAGTTGCCCAGCATCTGGATTTTGATCACATGACTATGACGATGCAACATGAAACGTGAGCATGAAAACTGATTATAAGCCATATTTTTTCAGTGCCGTGGTCATGGTTGAACAGTCACGAAAGGAATGGTTATAAGTCAAGGACTACCTGTACTGGTATCAATTGCATGTCCATTAAAAGTCCATTGTTTCATGTCTATTAAACGTATGAGCAGCATAATGCTCAGCTGTCAAACATGAAGGAGATCCATGCAAGCAGTGAGAATATCTTCCATGGAATTCTTTCATTATATATTTTCTGGATGTTGACCCGTGTAGGGGTGGTCATGATTTGAGCCATGCTAGCAAAATCTCAGAAATGAATATTGAGAGTGAGCATAAAGTGGAATTTGTGTTTGGAAACACCATCATCCTGTCCGGTTTTATTTATAATTTACGATTATATTTGCCTTTTATTATTCAATGTGTACCCCAACTTCTGGACTATGCTCAAGGTGGCACACCGCAATTAAAATTTAATGGAGAGTGTAACTAGTGCAATGAAAACCAAAATTAGAATCCACTTTCAAAATAATGAACAATTAAACGCTTGGCGAGAGAGATGTCATTTTGACATGTCTTCCTACGTGCTGGGAATATCAGAAGCATATGAGGCAGAATGATTTATGCACAGTATTAGCACAAATGCTGTATTAGGCTCAGCCTTTTTCTGCAGCAGAAAGGGTCTCTTTTACAGGCTCTTTTCCATAAAGAGACCAGAAGACAGCTTGACCAAAGTGATCAGGTTTTGCTAGAAATAGTGGCTTAGGCTAGATGAGGTGAGTCAAACTCAATTCTTGCAATTCCCAGCCCATGGTGCCTCTGCCAGCCAAAACAGGCTGTGGGAGGCCTGTTTTTGGCCTCCTGCAGCACTCTGCCAGCCAAAAATAGGCCCCTCAGAGGCCCACAAGGCCCGCTTTTGGCCGGCAGAGTGCTGCAGGAGGCCATGGAGCAGTGGTGGGATTCAATTTTTTTTAACTACCAGTTGTGTGGGCATGGCTTCTTGGGTGTGGTGTGGCTTTTGGGCGTGGCAGGGGAAGGATACTATAAAATCAACATTCCCTCCCCACCCCTGTAACCTGCTTTCCAGCTCCGTTCTTCTGTGCTGGGCAACAAAAGAAGACCCAGCCGATCCGCTGGGACTTGGGAGGCAGAGAATAGATGGGGGCAGGGCCAGTCAGAGATGGTATTTGCCGGTGCTTTGAACTACTCAAAATTTCTGCTACCGGTTCTCCAGAACTGGTCAGAATCTGCTGAATACCACCTCTGCCATGGAGGCCGAAAATGGGCCTCACGGGGCCTCTGTACAGCCCGTTTTTGGCCAGCAAAGTGCCGCAGGAGGCCATTCAGGCCAAAAACAGGGCAGACAGGGTCATGCAGGGCCTCCCTATGCCCCATTTTGGCCGGCAAGGTGCTACACGAGGCATCCATCCTGTCTCCCCACCCGCTCTCCACTCTCTCCCTCAGTGGCCCACTGAGGAGAATTACAATGCTGATGCGGCCCTCGGAGAAATCGAGTTTGACACCCCTGGGATAGAGAGAAGATGGCCTAAGACTGTCCCTAGCGATGGATGCTTTGTTTTTCTTACCGCTGTTTTTGTTCTATCTGCAGCCATGTGGGAGCATCACCCCGAAACGGCTGAGATTGCAGCTTTGCAGGAAGCTCATCGCCGAGAAGACAAGCAGGGCTCTGCGGAGGAAAACGAGTGGGAGGAGGAAGAGGAGGAGGACGACGAAATCTCCAGTTCAGGAGAGGAAGAGGACGATGAGAAAGACCGGGATGCCGATGAAGAAGGCGAAGAGGAGGAGCCCCCCTCGGCCCCCAAGAGTGGGCCCAGCCAGTCCGCCCCTCCCAGGAAGGGAAAGCTACCCACTCGGAACTTGTTTGCTTTGCTTGGGGAGGACGAATGTTAGTCGCTTCCCCTGTTGGACTGAGGGACGGGTGATAGATTTGCCCAGCCCAACCCAGCCGCCCTCCCCCGCTGTGCATTCCCCAGCTCTGGAGCTGCCGCTGTATATCAATAAAGGTGATGTTTATTTCCTGGCCCATCCTTGTGGCTGTGGAGAGATGAATTAGGAACCTTGGAGGATCTGTAGCCTCTTTGCTCTGAACTCTTGTGATGGGTGTCAGCATTCCAGCAAACCTCCATTCCAATCAGAAACTCCGAGATACAATCTCAAAAGTACCTTTATTAGAATAGCACCTGGCACATCTGCGGAATCACGAATCTAAAAGTTTTTTCGGGCTTCACACCATTTCCCAAACTATAAATCCATCTCCCCTCTCCCACTTGGCCGTCATGACATCACATGGCCCAATCACGATCCGTCCAAAAGTAAGATCCTTATTTCATCCTGCGCCATACTCAATGACCTTGGACTAACAAAAGAATTTTATTTTTATTTACTTAAAGCTACTTAATTGAAATGACCCCCCTCCCACTTTCTCAGGCTATGTGGCAGCATGGAATATGGCTTCCAAAACTGACACCGGGTCCTCATTTTACCGACCTTGGAAGGATGGAAGGCTGAGTCATCCTTGAGTCGGTCAGGGCAGTCGGAAGAATTAGCCTGCAATACTGCATTCTAACCACTGCACCACCATGGCTACAAGCAGAACAGCAAGTTATTGCCCATCACTTACATAGGTTGACCACTGTTGGAGATTCTCTGTCATTCTCAGAAATGTACATGTAATCCTCAACTTACAACAGTTCGTTTAGCGACCGTTCAAAGTTACAGTGGCACTGAAAAAAGCCACTTATGACCATTTTCCACACATATGACCATGGCAGCATCCCCGGTCATGTGATCAAAATTCAGACACTTGGCCGCTGACTCATATTTATGACGGCCCCACTGTCACGTGATTACTTTCGGTGACCTTCTGACAAGCCAAGTCAGTGAGGAAGCCAGATTCACTTCACGGCCGTGTTACTAACTTAGCAGCTGCAGGGATTCGCTTAAAAGCTGTCAGGCAAGAAAGGTAAAATGGGGCAGAATTCAAAACAAGGGTCTCGCTTAACAAACAGAAATCCTGGTCTCATTTGTGGTCGTACGTTGAGGATTCCCTGTACGTCCAGCCAGGATCATCTGCACATTCAGCAAAAATGGCCCCAGGCTCGAGGAAACGGAAGGCTTTGCAAAAGTACGGCCATCTTTAGGTTAAAAAAGTGTGTTGGAGAGAAGGAATTTTTTTTAATAATTCATACCACCCAAAGTATTCCAAAGTGAAAATGAAGTCTGCCCTGGATAGGGAATACAGGTAGTCCTCTACTTACGACCACAACTGAGCCCAAAGTTTCCACTGTGAAGTGAGACAGTTATTGAGTTTTGCCCCATTGTACAACCTTTCTTGCTACCGTTAAGTTAGTATCCCGGTTGTTAAGTGAATCTGGCTTCCCCGTTGACTTTGCCTGTCACAAGGTCACCAAAAGGGATAACGTGACCCTGGGACACTGCAACCATCATGAATATGACCCAGGTGCCAAACATCTGAATTTCGATCACGTGATCATGGAGGTGTTAACAGCTGTAAGTGTGAAAAACAGCAATAAGCCACTATTTCATTGCCTTTGTAACTTTTTATAATCCCTAAATCAGTGGTTCCCAACCTTTTTTTCGCCCCGCACCCCTAAAGAAATTTCACTCGAACCTCGCACCCCCTGAAATAAATAATAAATAAAAATGCCAACATGTAGCCAATATCCTATTATTTACCTGGACTTTTCTCGCACCCCCTGGAATATCGTCTCGCACCCCCAGGTTGGGAACCCCTGCCCTAAATGAACAGTCGTAAGTCAAGAACCACTTGTACTAGCTTCACCAAGCGGGGCAGGAAAGAGAAGTCGGGTGGGATAGAATAACATCATAACACATAATCAGAGATGGAAGGAACCTTATAGGTCATCTAGTCCAGCCCCCAAGCAGGAGACCCTACACCATTTCTGACCGATGGCAGTCCAATCTCTTCTTGAAAGTCTCAAGTGATGAAGCTCCCACAACTTCTGAAGGCAAAGCTGTTCCATGGGTTGATTGTTCTCCCTGTCAGAAAGTTTCTCCTTATTTCTAGGTTGAATCTCTCCTTGTTCAGTTTCCATCCATTATTCCTTGTCTGGCCTTCGGGTGCTTTAGAACAGTGGCCCCCAACCTTTTTTGTGCCGCGGCCCGGTACCGGCATCACAAAATGATCCATGGCCCGGTACCGGCATCAGCACACATGGCAAGGCAAGGCGAGCCGAGTGACTGGCCAGCCAGCCGTCCCCCACTTCTCCCCGCCACCTTCAACTCCTCCTTTGTACCTTTGTCGATGGGCTTCGGGACGATCACTCGGCTCGCCTTGCCTTGGATGCTGAAAGAATCCTCACGCCTTAGTTTTGTTCGAAGCCGCCCCCCCCCTTCGATGAAACTAAGGCGCGAGGATTCCTTCAGGACCCAAACGCCGCTTTCCAACCGGAAAAGCTCACCGGAAGCACTTTCTCATCAAAACAAGATGGCGGCGCCCAGCAAACTGGCGGCCCGGTAGAAAATGTTACACGGACCGCTACCGGTCCGCGGCCCGGTGGTTGGGGACCCCTGCTTTAGAAAACAGCTTGACCTCTTTCCTCTCTCTGGCAGCCCCTCAATAGAATAGAATGGAATGGAAAATGGCATGATTGGTTGGCATTCAGAGTGAAATGTCCACCCTACCTGTAAAAGTCCTGCTTTCAGATTTAACAAAACGTTATAACAGTGTTGGAAGGGACCTTGGAGGTCTTCTAGTCCAACCTCTTGCTCAAGCAAGAAACCTTATACTATTCCAGACAAGTGGCTGTTGAATCTCGTGTTAAAAGCCTCCAGTGATGGAGCACCCACAACTTCTGGTAAGATGTTCCACTTGTTAATTGTTCTAACCGTCAGGCAATTTCTTCTAAGTTCTAAGCTGGTTCTCTCCTTGATTAGCTTCCATCCATTGCTCCTTGTCTGGCTTTCAGGTGCTTTGGAGCAGTGATCCCCGACCTTTTTTATGCCGCAGCCCGGTACCGGCATCAGCTGGGCGCCGCGGCCCGGTACCGGCATCAACTGGGCGCCGCCATCTTTTTTTGACGAAAAAGTGCTTCCGGTGAGCTTTCTACCTGGAAAAGCTCACCGGAAGCACTTTTTTATCAAAAAAAGATGGCGGCGCCCAGCAACCAGCGGCCCGGTAAGACTTGTTCCGCGGACCGGTACCGGTCCGCGGACCGGCGGTTGGGGACCCCTGCTTTGGAGGATAGATTAACCCCCCTCTTCTTTTGTGGCAGCCCCTCCAATATTGGAACACTTCTATCTTGTCACCCCTTGTCCTTTTCACTAGACTAGATGTACCCAATTCCTTCCCAGCAATATAAATTTGGAATTCCCAATTCAAAGTCCAGTGGGAATACCCAATTCCACTTGCATTGCTTTCCATGGCAGTTACTGTATTTAATATATAGTGCATCCATGGTTCACTTTATGGAAAAGATATTTGTCTGTGGTGGTTACTCCCATATAACCTGACTTTATCTCTCACATTTAATGCAAGCTATACACATAAAAGGTTCTATCCCAAATGATGAAATGCAATTTGGTTGCTAAATGAGGCTGAAGGAATGAAGGCATACTTTGGTGTGATCTGGTGTGACCAGAAGACTAAAACTAAAAACCAAGATAAAACCAGATTAATGGGTCAAATGACAACACGTTAATTCCGTGCTCTTAGATTTAAAAAAAAAATTCCATTTGTGTGAATCAATTTTCAGCAGTCCTAACTCCTGAGGGGTAAGTCCTCCATCATCCCAAGTTAAAAGCGACAATAGATCATTATCTTATACCTGTTGCTAACCATTCTCAGATGAAATGCTTGTAACCAAGTGAATTTTCCAAGAGTTGCATTTTTTCATGTGAACTGTCTTGACAGCAATTGCCAGGTAAATAATGCATTAGTCATCATCTTTTGTCTTCTGGCCTGCCTGGATAATAGGACAGAGTTCTTCTAAAGGCAGCGCTAGCCTAATTTATGCTAAAACTTCAATTATCCCTTTTCAAAATCAACACATTGTAATCTATAATCTGCGCAATTGTTAAGTACAGTGATGGTGAGTGGACCTATGACACACGTGCCAAAGATGACATGCCATTTTGGGTGACATGACTGTTCAGTAACACCCAACAACATCTATTCTCTATTTTTAAGTCACAGTAGAACACAGGCAAACAAGCAAGTTTTATCTTTTTAAAAAAATAGATTACATTTATTTTGCACTGAAATCCAAGATTTCTTTTTTTTAAAAAAAGCTTCGTTAGTATTAAGATACAGAATTACAATATACATTTACAAGAGCAGAGCAAAGTTTGGAAAGCAATACTGGTGGTGTTCCAGGTCACTGTAAAACAAGGCAGTAGAAACAGACCTTAGGCAGTACCGTTTCCCCAAAAATATGACCTACCCTGAAAGTAAGTCCTAGCTTGATTTTTACATGTGCGCCCAATATAAGCCCCCCCCCCAAATAAGCCCTAATTAAGCTCCCGTTCACTCCAGAGTGCACAGGTAAAAATTAAGCTAGGGTGGGGATGCGGGGTGGAGCTGCCCTACTACTTACCTTTGGACAGTTATACCCAGGCCTTGCACACCCAACACCTGCCTCTCTGGCCTATTACTTCTGCAGCCAGCAAGGCTGGTAAGGCTTTTCTGAAAGCCTCTGTAGCTGATAACAAAGCTCTGGATCGATCCGGAGCTCTTATCCGCTGCAGAGGCCTTCAGAAAAGCCTTGCCGGCTGCAGAAAAAGTACAGTAGTTCTTGAAGGCCTCTGACAGAGAAAAGGAGGCTGGGGGCGACATGCACAAATGAGGTTAGTCAGTGAATGACATCCCCCCAAAATAAGACCTGGTGCCTTTTTGGGTGGCAAAAAAAAATAAGACAGGGTCTTATTTTCGGGGAAACACGGTAGCAGCTAGAAATTTTAACTTTCTTCTTCTGATTCCTGTACCTTTAAAAAAAGTAAGGATTACAACAAAATAGACATTTGAGCACAGGGAGGAAGGAGGCATTTTACTTCTAGAGTGATGGAACATGTTTGTTCTATTTATTATCACATTCTATTCATCAGATCTGTGCAATTTATAATTAAAAATATATGTTCCATTGTAATGTTCCGTACAGGAAGTTGAAGGATTTTTCTGCTAAGTAGTTAAAGTGCAGGACTTCCATTGCCCAGAACTTCCCCAAACTGGTACCCACGGTGCCAACCTATGGGGTGGAGCAAGATTTCCACAGGGGCATCATGATAAAAGTCCTGTCCCTTTATACATCTGTATACATCTACAAAAGGACTTAGCTTTTTTGACCCTTCCTATTGATGCTGCTGGATGGCCCCCAGATGTGATTCTATGTGACATGATGACGATGAGAGGAGAGCCATAACTCAATGGTCTATTTCTCAACCATAGCAACTTGATGTTTGGACTTCAATTCCCAGAATTCCCCAGCTAGCATGCTGGGGAATAACAAGGATAACTGTATCTGAGAACTCTAACATGGGCAATGTTTCTATTAATCAAGACAATATTTTAAAAGAACAACACGAGTGAAAGATTTGGAAATCCTGTAGGAAAATCTAATACTAAGATATTAGTATTAGCATTTGGACTGAAATCTTTTTGATTTCTGATTTTTCTTCTATGATCCAAGGAAGTTTTCACCTCAGGAACAAGGCACCTTTGCAACAGTAATTAAGCGGCTTAAACCATCACAAACATGCTGTATACTTATATTGAAGAAATGCATCTATAACCCCCAATAACATATTCCTCCAAATAAGTGCACTTGGCTGCTAATATTTTTTAAAAAATTAAGTATTTGCATGTTGAGGTTAAAATGCTATGATTAAGAATTGTGGCAAGAGGTCAGTAAAAGCTCCTTTGAAATAAATAAAAACATGCTATTCATTTTAGAAGGACCCTTTTAAACATTCTCTTAGTCAAAGCAGGCCATTAAAGCGCTAAAGAGCAGTTCCTCCTCTTTTTTTTTTAATTCAGAAGGGGTTGCTATCCTCTTGCAAACATATTCTAGAGATGCATTTGTTTAACCAACTTCTTGCTCTCCACACAAGCATCCAACCTAGAAGCTGGCCAATTATAGCTAGATTTCAACCATTATTAAGAATTCTCAGAGTAAGTGAAAAATTCATGATCAAAAAGGATCTCCTTAATATTCTAAGGTGGGATCAACCCAGGCATTGGCTATTCCAACCTTCTCCAGTAAGATCCTAAACAGCACCTCTGTTACATGATCTACAATACGAGTAGAACTTAGTGTGTTTCAGTCCAGACTATCCCAATTTGACATTCTCCAAATATTTCAAGACTAACATCTTCATCTAATACTGCTGTGGAGGACAATGAAGTTCCAATCCATAATAATGGAGAACACTAGCTTAGGAAAGATTCTTTTCGGGAGTTACAAGAGACTTGGCCCAGTAGATAACAAATTTTTGGGTGGCAGCTCTTCAAGTCCTTTTTATATAAAAGTACAATCAAGATATGGCGTATTATTCAGTGCTTTGTAAGCAGGGACCTGGCAAAGTTTGACACCCGCCCCCCACAAAAGTCAGACCCCACCCCTGCAACTAAAACAGGTACCTATCCGATCGTTACTCAATTGTCCTTGTAGTCTGAGGGGCCATTTTGAGCCAACAAGCGCCCATAAGCTGCCTCTTCCCGGGAGAAGATTTGGAACTTCTTGTCCAGCTGGGCACGGAGGTAGAGGTAATCCTGTTCATCCAGGCTGTGAGCGCAGGTAAGATAGATCGTGAAGAGGGAGGCCAGAAGCAGGCGGTCAAGGGAGAGGCAGGGAACAGCCCAGAGGATAAGGAGAAACTCCACGTACAGTGGATGGCGAAGGTGGGAGTAGAGACGGAGGGCCCGTGAAGACTTCACAGCCAAAGGGTCTCCCATGCCCAAGCAATAGTAATAAACCTGGGGAGTGAAATGAGAGCAACATCTGTTTACTGGGAGGCTGTCAGCTTTGGAAGCCATATTAGCACCAGATGATCCAAAACGGGAGGGGGGAATTTCTTGGAGTGTATGTGGTTAGACATAATAGCATTCTTCTTCGATGTCAAGGTCATGTTATTTCTGCACCTGGTTGGGAGGACGTCTCGAGCTGGGACGGGCGGTGATTGGGGCATGTGATGCCATGAGGGGTGCAGGGGGGTGGATTTGTAGTTTTTACTTATTGCAAAGAAACCTGGAACTTTTAGATTCGGGATTTTCCAGGTGTGCCAGTTTAATACTCTAATAAAAAGAACTTTGGAGAGGATGTCTGCCTCGGAGTTATTTATTGGAGGGGAGGTTTTCTGGAACACTGACAGAGGCACTCCCAGATTTTAACATACGTCCAAGGCAGCCTTGGGCTCTCTGCAGATTCTACAGAGGAACAAATGGCTTCCCATTTGTAGCACAACGCTGAGTACAGATAGTCCTTGACTTAATGACCACAATGGAGCCCAACATTTCTGTTGCTAAGTGAGACAGTTATTAAGTGAGTTTTGCCCCATTTAACAACCTTTCTTGCCGCAGTTAAGCGAATCACTGCAGTTGTTAAGTTGGTAAAATGGTTGTTAAGTGAATCTGGCTTCCCCATTGACTTTGCTTGCCAGAAGGAGATCACATGACCGCCCAGGGACGCTGCAACCGCCATAAATATGAGTCAGTTCCTAAGTGTCTGAATTTTGATCACATAACCATTGGGATGCTGTGAGGGTCATGAGTGTGAAAAATTGTCCTGAGTCACTTTTTCAGTGCTGTTGTAAACAGTCACGAAATGAACTGTTGTAAGATGAGGACTATCTGTACTTCCCCCACCCACCCCCTCAAGGCCTTCATAGTTGAACTCCTTTCCTTCCCTTCCAGATGTATTGTTTGCGGGGTCCTTGGTACTCTCTGAGTTGGGTTGTTTTCTTGCAGATGTTTTATTACCTAGTTCGGTAACATCTTCAGTGCTAGAAGGGAGTGGGGTTTAACTCTGTTTATATATAGTGCCTTGGCCTGTCAGTCTTGGTGGGAGTCAGCGGTGGGATTCTACCAATTCGCACCTATTCGGTAGAACCGGTTGTTAACATTCTAAGCAGTTCAGAGAACCGGTTGTTAGAAGAAATTACTGGCCTAATCCTGTAAGGAAGGCAGGAAGGAAACATTCTGATGTTGCTTACAGAAACTGCCTCTCCGTTAACCCTTATTACATTCTTGGCAGGACTAGACTTCCTGTCTCAGGAGATGTGTGCCTCGATGTGAGTAATATTGAGTTGGCCACACCCAGCCAATAACATGACCACCAAGCCATGTCCACCCAGTCACATGACCACCAAGCCACGCCCACTACCTAAGCCACGCCCACAGGACCGGTTGTTAAAAATTGTGAATCCCACCCCTGGTGGGAGTGGTTTCTTCTTGGTAGTTCCTTATTTATGCTGGTGACCTTCTACGGCTGCACCATAGAGAGTATGTTAATTTACTGCACCTCTGTATGGTTTGCCAATTGCACAGTGGCAGATAGGAAAGCACTCCAGAGGGTTAACGTCATTGCCCAGAAGAACATTGATTGCCCTCTCCCCTCTTTGGAAGAGCTTTATAGCTCCCACCGCCTTAAGAAAGTTCAAAACATCTTCAAAGATCCATCTCATCCTGGGAATCCTTTTTTTTTGAACTATTTATCATCTGGCAGACGGTACAGAATAATAAAAACAAGGACAAATAGGCTGAAAAACAGCTTCTATCCCAGGGCAGTAACTCTATTGAATTCTACTATATAGTGCAGTGTTGGTGCGGTGTCGGGGGGTTTTCAGTTCAATGTGTGGAGTGTGAAGGATGTGTGTTTGTGTTTATTTTCATGGTCATGATGTGCACTGAAGATGGTGTTTGATTTCGTTGTACGAGGTGCAATGATAAACTAAACTAGTTGTTGTATATACTGTTTGACTGTCTGCAAGAAAACAACCAAGCTCAGAGAGCACCAAGGGCCCCACATTTCAACTTTGTGCTACAAGTATTCTTTTCTATTGGGATGTACTGTCTGTTACAGAGAACTCTATTTAATATTTTATTCACTCTCACTTTTTAAGTGTAAGCCACTCACAGGCATCTGGAGTAAGGTGGCATCTAAATTTCATTAAATAAAAAAAAAGTGATGCTTGGGGGGAAAAGTTCACACACACACACACACCCTCAGAAGATAACATCAGATGCTGGGTTCACCATATTTTTATTTATTAAACTACACTATACTGCAGCCTGCAGCCTTGGTCACCAGAGAAACAGGAAGGAGGGGAAAAGAATACAAACACAATACCTGCTTGACTCCCATCAGTTCTGCATAATCAAAGATGAGAATGATGCTAAAGATGATTAGCCAGGAGATGAAATGAAGGACAAAGCAGATGAGTGGAACCCAAGTGATCCATGGCTCGGTGTTTGTATTCCACAGCATAGGACCATCCTGTACTGGCTGCCAATACCTCATCAGCAACTATGTTAAAAGGAAAAAAAAAAATTACATTAATAGCAAGCACTGCAAAGATATTTAACATGACCGCATGTGAGAAACTCCAGGGTTCTCAAAACTCAAGGCCCGTGGGCTAGATCTGGCCCATGGGGTGCTTAGATCTGGCCCGCGAGGCCGCCCTGGAAACAGCGAAGGACTAGCCTGCAGTGCCTCTGCCAGTGAAAACGGGCTCCCAATCTCCGTTTTCGGCTGGGACGGCCTCCTGCAACCCTCTGCCAGTGAAAACAGCTCGGGGGCGCCCTCCTGGCAGAGGGTTGTGGGAAGCCATCCTAGCCGAAAATGGAGATTGGGAGCCCGTTTTTGCTGGCAGAGCATTCGGACCGCCACGAGTGACATCAAGCTGGCCAAGTCCACCCCGGCCCTCTGAGGTCAAACAGAACCCTTGTTATGTATATGTAAATTACATAGTTGGGTTGACAATATATAAACTACAAATATATATGTTTGTAGCTTTAAGGCAAAATACTGTAATGTATTATGCTATGTTCTGTTGGTTAATTATGTTACATGTTGCCATAAGAGGGAGCTATAGATCATGGTTTAATTCTCTTTCTCTTTTTCACTGATGATCTCTCTTAATACTGTACTTATACTGACTGACTACGGACCGATACTGACTAACTCTGTTTATTTTGGTATTCTGTTGATATCGAAGGTTATCTGTTGTATTGTGGTTTGATATTTGTCTGCTGTAAAAGACATGAAACCAGTAAGGCGGCTTTATAACTGTATATTTCTGGACTGTTAAAAACGTGCATGACATGGACTGTTTATTGGACTGTGCAATTTCTTCAAATAAACATTAATACCACTTGTTCAACTCTGTGTGGCTGTATATTTATTCATAACTATTCTCATAAACCGTTTCCATGTGCATACAAGGGTTACTCTGCACATATCCTAACAACCCTGATGCAGCCCTCAATGAAATCCCCGTTCTAGTCCAACTTTCTGCTCAGACGGGAGACCCTATACCAGCGATGGCTAACCTTTTCGTCGTCGCATGTCAAAAGTGTGCATGTGCGCATGCGGACACATGCCTGCACCCATAATGCAATGCACACTGACCCCCATGCCCCCCCTGCACGTGCGTGCATGACCCCCCGCGCCCCACTCCTCTGTGCATGCGCATGCGTCTCCCACGCACACCCCGCCTCTCGTGCATGCGTGGCAGATACCCGGCAGGAGGCGTGTGCGCATGCGCAGTGGATCTGATCCAGGGCGACAGCTTGTGTGCTGGCAGAGATGGCTCTGCATGCCACCTGTGGCACGCTTGCCATAGGTTCGCCATCACGGCCCTATAACCATTTCAGACAAAGGGTCACCCAATCTCTTCTTAAAAACCTCCAGTGTTGGAGCGCTCACAACCTCTGGAGGCGAGTTGCATTTTACAAAATGATGCAAGTTTAAACGCAAGTTAAAATGATAATCTTTATTATTATCTTTTTTTTTTTGAAATGCCCATTTCTCTTAGCTGAGAAAGAAACTCAATTTGTATTTTGCAACATGATGAAGAATGAAAGGCTCAAGCTTTTACAGGTAGTCCTCAACTTATGAGCCCAGAATTTTGGTGATAAGTCATTGCGGTCGTAAGTCAAGTCACCGTGTGACTGCACTCAACTTTTACCACTGTGGTCAAGCAAGTCACCATGGTTGTTAAGCAAACCACATGATCATGACTGTGAATCCAGCTTATTATATAGAGCCTCGGTGGCACAGTGGTTAGAGTGCAGTCCTGCAAGCTACTCCTACTGTAATTTGGCAGATTGAATCTCACCAGGCTCAAGGTTGACTCAGCCTTCCACCCTTCCGAGGTGGGTAAAATGAGGACCCAGATTGTTGGGGGCAATAGGCCGACTCTGTAAATCACTGAGAAAGGGCTGTAAAGCACTGTAAAACGGTAAATAAGTCTAAGTGCTATTGCTATTATCCAATAGATGCTTCTGCTGGAAAATGACCCCCCCCTCCAAAAAAAAATAATCACAGAAAGCAATCAAGCGACCATGGGATGCTGCAATCAGTTATAAATGCAAGCTGGTTGCCAAGCATCTAAAATGTGATTACAAGGCTGTGAGGGTGGTGCAACTTCAAAAGGAAGTTGGTAACTTTCCTTGAAGTTTCAATTAAAGTTGGAGTCCATGGTAACTTCAATTGGTGCGCCATCCGTAAGTCGAGCTGTGCCTGTACAGCCTCCCACTTTATTACTCTAAATCAGGGGTCTTCAGACTTGACAGCTTTAAGACTTGTGGACTTCAACTCCCAGAATTCTTCCTCCAGTCATGTTAGCTCAGGAATTCTGGGAGTGAAAGTCCACAAGTCTTAAACTTGTCAAGTTTGAAGGACCCTTGGTCTAAATCAATCCGCCTACCTGAAGGGATAAGTCTGTGCAAAAAACATAGACCGTTCTCTGCAAGACCCCAAAGCAGTTGCAGGTCCAGTGTTTGACCCGATCAGAAGCCATCAGGCTGTGCTGCAGGACAAAAAGGACGATCAGGCCCACATCCACTGTTAGCGAGTGCAAAATCTTGGGATCTCTTAGGGCCATTTTCCACTGAGGATTCGAGGTGTCACCTGCAAAGAGAAAAATGAGGAATCTTACACCCTGTAGACAGCAGGACATAAAACAAGAATTACCAAGGAAGTTTATAAATGTCTACATCAGGGGTGTCAAACTCGCGTTCGTTGAGGGCCGCACCAGGGTTGTGCTTGACCTTGGGGGGGGGGGGGGCGTGTGTGCATGGCCAAGGTAGACATGGCCAGCTCGAAGTCACTCGTCTCAGGGGTGGCTGTGGGTTCATAGTATTGCAGCGTAAATTCAGCGCCAGAAAAGTAAACACAGATGACTGAGGCTTCATAACTTCTTTATAAACATATGAAGTAAATTTTACAAACCAGTTGTAGATTTCTCCAACATGGAGCAAACTCAAACAGAAGCAGACATGTTACAGGTTCAAAGCAGAGCAGCAACTCAACTTCAGCAGACAAGCAAGCAAGTTAGTTTCTCTTTATTTTAGAGCTGAGCACAGAACAGAGATAAACCACGCCCAGATTCTCTCTTTAAGTTTCAGCCCTCAATTCAGCTCTCATTGGCTGATTTAGTTGCTATGCTTATTCATTGGCTCTGTTAACTATGTCTTTGCTAGTTAATGAATACTCTGACACTGTGGTGGCCCCAAATACTCTGCCAGCGAAAACAGGCTCCCGAGCTCCGTTTTCGGCTGCAATGGCTTCCTGCAACCCTCTACCAGTGGAAATGGAGTTGGGAGAGCCGCCTGAGGCCGTTGCATGCTCCGTTTTCAGCTGCGATGACTTCCTGCAACCCTCTGCCAGCAAAAACGGAGCTCGGAAGGTCCGCATGCAGCCCTTCAAAGCTCTGTTTTCGCTGGCAGAGGCACTGAGGGCTGGTCCTTCGCTGTTTCCAGGGCCAGATCTAAGTACTCCATGGTCCAGATCCAGCCCTCCCCTGGGCCTTGAGTTTGACACCTCTGGTTTACATCAACTTTTCTCAACCTTTTTAACTGAGAGCAGAGTTTTGTCGACTGCAACTTTAAGATGGGTGGACTTCAACTCCCAGAATTCCCCAGCCAGCTGGGAGGCTGAAGTTCACACGGCTTAAAATGGCTGAGATTGATGAACCCTGCCCTAGAACAGGGGTCCCCAAGACCCAATCCATGGCCCAGTGTTGGGCCGCAGCCCATTCGGAACCGGGCTGCGGAAGTGGTGGGTGACTGCAGGTGTGAAGGTGCATTTGTAAAAACAGCACGGGTGCAAAATCATCCCTTCTCTCCTTCCACCACCCACCGAGCCAGAAAAGTTGGAGACCACTGCCCTAGAGGAACCCTTGAAATGCTTGTGAGATCTCAAGAAACCCCTGCATAGAAAAATATTACATCTACAGCTAGCAAAGAGGGGTGCTTTGGGACTACAAAATGAAATCTTGAAGTCTCAGGCAGTCCACAGTCTGTCCAACCCAGTCTGGAGAAGTGCTGGGAATGCAGAGAAAGGACACTGGCTGTCATGCCCCTGGTGGAGACTGACTCTGAGGGAGAGGAGGAACAGCCGACAGGGAGTGGAAGTGTGGCTCCGGAGGTTGGGGAAGGGCAAAGGCCAGCTGGACAGTCAGAGGAGGACCCAGGCCCATCCCCTATCCATCCTAAGGCACGCAGGGAGGAGAGGATATGGGAGAGACATGGTCTACTTGGGAGGAGAGGGCCTTGATCCTCTTCATGGGCTGCAAGTGTGAGACTTGCATAAGACTTTGGACCTGCATTCTAGCAAAGGCTGGAGTCAAAGCGTGTTTTATTTTGGTTTGAGGTTATCTTGGTTGGTGTCCTTCCAACAGACTGTGCCTTGTTATCTCCTTGAATTTGGTAAATACTTCTCCTGTTCCATTGTGGAAATTTCATCATTGTAGTAGTTTGTTTGGTTTTTATTTTCACCTCTATCTGCTCATTAAATTCGGACTGTATTGCTTTCTTTTGAAGACTATTTTGAGTACGTTTTATCTCCAACTGAGAATTATTGAACAGTGGGGCCAAGTTGGAGGCATTAGAGGACATTTATTTACGTTTTGGATTTTGTTACATTTGTGTTACACTCTGGGTCATCACACTGGCCTTTAGAAATCTGACCCCCCCCCCTTATATTTTCCAAGTTGCACTTCAAAATCTGGCGGACACAGCTCCCTCAGCATCCCGAATATTCATCTCGACTGCAGAAAGCATAAAAGGACTGTAACGTTTGCAATCCAAGGAGAGTAAAACAAGGGAAAATTTTTCACTTTGATGAGCATCAAAATTACGTGCAGTTTTTAGAGATAGGAATAGCTTTCTGGGACTGAGTGTGGACTGAAGCCATCACCTCAAAACCAGCCTTAATCCTTGATCAAATGCCCAGATCTTTAAGCGATAGAAGCAGAATTCTGTCAAAGAAGACTTCTAATATTATTACTGAAAAGTTTTGAGCTAACAGTTATTCAGCAGGAACAGGGGTGGGATTCTTCCAGTTCGCACCTATTTGCTAGAACCGGTTGTTAACATTCTAAGCAGTTCGGAGAAACGGTTGTTAGAAGAAATTACTGGCCTAATCCTGTAAGGAAGGCAAGAAGGAAACATTCTGGAGTTGCTTACAGAAACTGCCTCTCCATTAACCCCTATTACATTCTTGGCAGGACTAAAGACTTCCTGTCTCTGGAACGTCTCTGGAGGTTATTTTTTCCTCCTTTGCTGGTACTTTGCTTGTGTGGAGTGACCATTCAAAGTTACAATGGCACTGAAAAAAGTGACTTATGACCGTTTTTCACACTTACGACTGTATCCCCACAGTCATGAGAGGCCAGGCGAGGAGATGCATGCCTCAATGTGAGTGATGTTCAGTTGGCCAAGTCACATGACCACCAAGCCATGCCCACCAACTAAGCCACACCCACAGAACTGGTTGTTAAAAAAATTGAATCCCACCTCTGAGCAAGAGCTAAACATTCCTAGCAGAGGGCAGCTGAATGCCAGTTCGGCTGCTTTCACCATCTTATATGGCTGCGATCTGGCAATGATTTGTTCAATACTCTCTCACTGGTTGGATTCACACAAACAGTCTCGAAGCCACTGTGTGGATTTGCTGTTTGGGTTTATTATGCTGTCAGAACGCGGCCATGGATAAAGTTCGCTCATGCAATCCATATTACTGTGTAAATCAAATCGAATCCATGCGTTGCCCAGCCGCATTATTTTTGGCAGCGCATTCACTCATTTCTATTTCCAGTCTTGCCACGTTTTTTTTTTTTTTCCAAAGGGCCTCCGGGCAGAAACAAGACAGAGCACGCAAGGGTCGAGAGCTGCAGCATGGAAATCTCTCTTTCTTGGCGCTCTCGTTTTTAACTCGCTATTTCAAACACACCCGCGGCATAGGTTGCTGGTTCTTCTCCCCACGGGGAGCCTTTTAGATCGGAGGGGGGATCAACTCACCCAAAAGTAAATAAATAAATAAATAAATAAATAAATAAATAAATAAATAAATAAATCCCTCCAAATATCTCGGAAGCAGCCCGCGCCAACTCACCCCAAAATAAATATATAAATAAATAAATCAAGCCCTCCAAATATCTCGGAAGCAGCCCGCGCCAACTCACCGCAAAATAAATAGATAAACAAACAAACAAATAAATAGATAAACCCCTCCAAATATCTCGGAAGCAGCCCGCGCCGCACTCCGAATCGGAGGTCCTGCTTCGGGATCTTACCTGGATTCACGCCGGTTCCGTGGGAAGGAGGAGAGGCAGCCCCCGCGGGTAGCTGCAAAAAGACGGCACGGAAGGAAATAAAACGGATCAGCTCCACGCCGGTCCCGAAAGTGAAAAGGAAATTGCCCAAAGCCGGGATCATCAGCAGGAACTGCAAAGCAGCCATGGCGCGGGGAAGGGGAAGGAAAAAAAAAACAAAAAAGCAAGAGCTTCTCCCGCCGCCTGGAAAGAACGCCCAGCTGCGGGTGGGGCTTTCCCCCGGAATCTGCACGCCCTCCCGTGACGTCACAATCGCGGCGTTCCTCCTCCGCCCCTCCCCGGAGCGAGAGGGCTTCCCTAGAATCCCCAGGTCCGCCTTTGTTCTAATGACGTCACATACTTCGGGAGGAGGGGGCAGGGGCGAGAGAGAGCCCTTCTTTTCTGACAGTGAGAACGATCAACCAATGGAACAGCTTTGCCCTCGGAAGTTGTGGGAGCGCCATCACTTGAGACCTTCAAGAAGAGATTGGACTGCCATTTGTCAGAAATGGTGTAGGCCGGGTCTCCCGCTTAGGCAGGGGGTTGGACTAGATGACCTATAAGGTTCCTTCCAACTCTGATTATCTGTATCTGAGAGATTCCGTGACGTCGAAGCCTATATACGCTGGTAAACTTTGGATCCTTGACGGCACACCAGCAATCCATTCGCTAAAAAAATAATCATAATAACCTCTCTCGTTCCCATCAAAGCTGCGTAAATCCTACCTCGCTTTTTTCCTTGCATTAGGAAAAAGAAAAGTGTGTATGTGTATAGAGAGGGGGGGAGGGAGGGACACACACACACACACACACACACACAAGCTCTATACCTATGCTTAGCTACGAAACTATTGTGATTGGGCTTAGTTTTTGGGGAGGAAAATAAGGGGGGGGGAAATTCTGCCTCTGCCTACCAGCATCCATCTGTATTCATCTGGCTAGCATCCTGTCGGGGTGTGAGAGTTGAGAGCTGTTTGGAAACTGAAACAGTATTTGCTGTGTGAGCAAGGAGACAGCAAGGAGCCTGGGCGTGGCTTAGCTCAACTGTTCTGTACTAAAGCTGCTTGCTGCTTTGAAATTAAAACTGAAAACTGAAACTCCTCTGCTTGTGTTTTGCATTTGGAAGAGATTTCTTTTCAGGTGGGGAGGCAGAGTAGAACTCCTTAGCATCAGAGCATATTAATAATAATATAGGAAATACTAATGCTCTGATGGTCATTTCGGAAAATCCTTTCTTAGTGAGCACCTAGAAGCCAAGAGGAACATACGTGCCAAATTTCAGGTTTGTAGGCTTTACGGTTCTGGAGATTTTGTGATGATGCCTGAGTAGTATTTCGCTTTTATAGATATAGATATATAGATACACACACACACACACAGAGAGCCATGGCAGGGGGAGAGAGAGAGGGAGGGAGGTAGAGAGAGAGGGAGTTGTTTTGTATTCCTGCTGGCCATAAGATATTGCTGGGTGTTTCCTCCCCCACCGCTGCTTTTTAATCAGAGAATTCACACACCTGTTTCCAGGGCATTAAATGTCAAATATATGTTTATATACAGGTCCGACAAAACACAGAAGGCGTTGAAGCCAGCAGGGGGCAGTAATGTCTAGCAGGACTTATCCCAGATGTTAAGCGGCTGGTCCTTGGGTGGGGAAGCTTTGGGTTTCTTGGAGGAGGCTGGGAAGGGGGTGGGCAGAAGGGGAACACCTGGGCAAGCTGTGCTTTTCCTGTGGCAGGAAAACTGGATGGTGTTGTAACTATCCTGGTTCAAGGCACCTTAATGCGGTTACCAAGCCATCCGTTTTAAATCTTGAAGATTTATGTGTTGTCATGTCATCTTTGACTCCTAGCAACCACATAAACAGATGTTCTCCATGATGATCTGTCCCTCACAGATTCTTTCAGGCCTTCCAATGATGACCTCATGGCCTCTGTAACCATCCCAGTGGTGGGATTCAAATTTTTTTTACTACTGGTTTTGTGGGCGTGGCTTGGTGGGCGTGGCAGGGGAAGGAGACTGTAAAATCTCCAGTCAGAGGTGGCATTTGCCGGTTCTCTGAACCACTCAAAATTTCCGCTACCGATTCTCCAGAACTGGTCAGAACCTGCTGAATGCCACCTCTGGTCCATCCCCCTTGCTACTGGTCATCCTTTCTTATCTTTTCTTCCACTTTTCTTTTAAAAGTTATGATGAGGTAAAAATAAAACCTCCAGGAGTCGAGTGTCACCAGCATCATTCAAACATCACAGTCCTCCTGTTAATTTAAATAAACAGATTTTTAAAAAACGGATGTCCCCAAGTCGAGCTCCATTCCGTATTGCACGGTGACTAATGCTTTTGGATCAGAAAATAAGCCTTTCCCAGTCAAGGATCTTCCAGATATGTGGAGCCCACAGTTTCCAGATTTCCAACCAGCGTGGGCTACCTTGAGCTACTAGTCTGCCCAAATAGTAACACTGTCATTGCAACTGAAAGGTATACCTCTAAGAAAAATCAGGTTTCATTCCCTGTTCTGGTGAGATTCCTCTCAAGCCTGGAAGAAGTAAATAGCCAGCAAAGAAGGTTTTGACCATCAGAACTCATGCCCCAAAATAATAATTAATAGGAAAAAAGGCTCCACCTTGGCCTTGTTTCACAACTCAGTTTTACAGCTAAAAGTATCTGCCTGGCTGGTTTGATCTGGCAATGCTGGCGCAGTTGGAGTTCCTTCAATTAAACGATGCCACGGGTGTCAAACTCGATCGCGTTACATGACATATTGTGATGTTTTTTGCCTTTGCGGAGCCAGGGTGGGCATGGATGTGCATGACGCATCCAGCCTGTGGGCCGCCAATTTGACAGGTCTGAATAATGCCCCTTATTATTAGGACCTGCCCTCTAGAATAAGGTCCCTCGTGAGATCCAGATGGCCCCAACCTGCTGGTGTTTTGAGGAGCTCTTCACTCAGGTCTTTAGCAAGGGAGTGTGGTGGAATGTAGTCTGGATTCCCAGGAGAGAGAAGCTGCATCTCAGAGACAGCAAAGTTTAGATATTTTGGTGGGGAGGAAGAGGGTCAAGACAGCTCCTCACTAGACATGCTCAGAGTATATCTATAATGTTGCAAGTACAGGTTGTCCTCAACTTACAACAGTTTGCTTAGTGACCATTCAAAATTACAACAGCACTGAAAAAATCGACTTGTGATGGTTTTTCACACTTACGACGGTTGCAGTATCCCCATGGTTATGTGATCAAAATTCAAATGCTTGGGAACGGGTTCATATTAATGACGGTTGCTACATCCTGGGGTCATGTGATCACCTGTTGTGATCTCCTGAGAAGCAAAGTCAATGGGGAAGCCAGATTCACTTATCAGCCGGGTTACTAACATAACAACTGCAATGATTCACTTAACAAGTGTGGCAAGAAAAGTCATAAAACGGGGCAAAATTCACTTAACAAAGATCTCGCTTAGCAACATAAATGTTGGGCTCGGTTATGGTCGTAAGGCAAGGACTACCTGTAATTGCTTTAGTTTGGCAAGATTTCTGTCTATAGGTGAGGAACAATAAAGGAAACTGCTTAGAATAGAATAGATATAATTCTTTATTGGCCAGGTGTGATTGGGCACACAAAGAATTTGTCTTGGTAAATATAGAAGTAACTTCGGGTTTTTTTCGATTTTGGGAGCTTGGCAGAGAGAGTGATCTTCACTTTGTTTCCATCTAGTCTATTGATCTTCCCCTCTTTAATCTTTTTCTCCCCTTCCTTTTCTTGGTCTTATTGTGTTTGTTGTCATAATTGTGAGTAGCTCAGTCATTGGCAATCAGGCAATCTACGGCAGAGGTGGTATTCAGCAGGTTCTGACCAGTTCTGGAGAACCGGTAGTGGAAATGTTGATTAGTTTGGAGAACTGGCAAATCCCACCTCTGACTGGAGAAGATTTTACGGAATCCTTCCCCTGCCACGCCTACCAAGCCACGCCCACAGAACCGGTAATAAAAAAATTGAATCCCACCACTGATCTACGGTTAATAAATTATTGTTAATATTATTAAAATCAACAAAGGAGGGCCTAATCTACGAAAGAGATACCAGCTCACACACCTGTCCTTTTTCCTGGTTTCTGAGGGACTTGGCACAATCCTTCTTCAAAAGCAGATACTACACTTTAAAAAAAAAGCAGAGACTATTATTAATAAATAAATCACCTATCATCGCATCTGGTTATATAAAGTGTATCTGATGTAATTTATATTATAAATCAGAGATTAGTTAGTGATCAAATAAACAGGCTGTCTCATTAAGACACACTTTACCTTTGAATGCAAGACACCGGTTCTTGATTATCGAGGTGTAAAGCATAGGTTCAGTTTGAATTGTTATATAATGGGTTCGTGCTCCAAATATTTAAATATTTCAAACTTAAACACACATTAGCAAAGGGATGTGACTCATATCTTTAAGATAACAGTGAGTTATTTTGGCAGTCTGTGAGCTCCAGTTCTTGAAACAAGTTAATGTATACAACGTGATGGCATTTTTTGGGACTTCCAAACTGTTTTTAGGGATGAGTTCTTTAGCCCTACATAAAATTTTGATCCCACATCATCCCCCTTCCTCAAACTTTTTCAGATTCATCAGGCGTGATGTTGATGTTTTATGCTTTTACAATGTTATACTTGTAATCCCGTCCGTTATTTTTCTCCCAGCTCACTTTGGCAAGAATATTTTCCGTTTGCATCTTTGGTAACTACAGTATAGCAACTTCTCAACTTACGACCAGTTGTTTACCAACTGTTTGAGGTTACAATGGACCGCCACCCAAGAGACTTAGAACCGAGTTTGGAAGTTCTGATGTTGTGCCCCCTCCTTCATGGTCATTGACTCCATTTTAGGTACTTGCAGCCGGTCCACATTTAGAATAGAATAGAGTAATAGAGTTGGAAGGGACTTTGGAGGTCTTCTAGTCCAGAGGTGGGATTCAGCTGCTTCGGCCTGGTTCAGGAGAACTATCTGGTTTGCCGAACTGGTAGTTGAACCAACTGGCTGATCCTGCCCACCCCTCCCCTGAGTCTCCACGTGGCCTGTTTTGGATGTAGATAAGTCCAGGGTCTGCACGGAGGTTCTCGGAGGGTGAAAAACAGGCCGAAACTGAAGTTCCAGAAATGGGCCTGT